AGTTCGTGTTCTCTAAAACCAAAGAATGAATTTTAGGAACAAATGATATTTCTGTCTAATTCAGCTCCCTACAGCAATACCTTTTAAATTTTCATTACTCCTTCAGGATCTCACACTAGCAAGATAATACAATGTTTGCACATGTGGACCTGATTTATTTCACTTACTAGTATACTGACTAGCTGCAACCACTTATCTATAAAGCATCGAATTTAACTTTTCTTATAGCTGAATGATATTCCATTGTGTAAAAATATCATATCATTTTTATCCATTCCTCAGTTGATAGGCATTTGGGTTGTTTCTAAGATTTAGCTATGACACATTGTACTGTTACAAACATTGGTGCACATACATTGCTTTAGTATGATGATTTCAGTTCTTCTGTAAAAATACCTAGGAGGGCAATAGCTGCCTTCAAAGGGACCTCCAACCCGAGATTTTGTTTTTATGTATTTGACACAGGGCCTCTCTACACAGCTTGGACTTAGCCCTTATATTTGATGAGCTTTGTTTTCTTTGCAGCATTTCTGGCAAGGAGTCCATTACCGCTGGGCCTTTTTCATGGCCAGTGGTCCGCATCTAGATGAAATTGCAGAACTAGTAAACGCGGGAAAGGTAGGTGCATCCGAAAACCTTTTTAGCTGGGAGCCTTTGTATTGCTGGGACATGTCTTGGAAGCTGCGCATCTTCAGCAGTGGAACTCCCCAGAAGTAGGCTTCCAGAGAGACACGCTGCCTTAGGTGGCCAAACTCGTGTGTGATACTTTCGGTTCTGTCGCCACCAGAAAGGGACACAGACCACTACATCTTCAGAGGAGCTTACCCCTTAGGCCAGCTTCCTTGATGACTAGGCGAAGAGGCAGGCCCAGAGGCTTGTAGTTTTCTCAAAGACACTTGGTTAGATTGTAGCAGAGGCGGGATCCATATTGGCCTGCTGATATTGTGGCGGTTGTCTTGGAAAGGTGGCACCACGAAGGCCATCTCTGCACAGGGACGATCATATGCTTGCAAGTTGGTAGTATAACAGCTAGTAAGTGACTTAGTCTGGGGTTTGGGTCACCCTGGAGGTAGGCTGCTTGCCGCATAAGAAGGGAAACAAACACTGGCATCTAAACCCCAGCCTGCCTGGGTGAGAAGTAGTTCCCGCAGTTCCTGATCCCAGGCTGGGTAATGAAGTCCACGACACACAGATGGTACCTCAGAAGGGGGTGGCCAGGGCGGGGGAGGCAGGTGGGCCCTGGGTGGAGATCACTGTTAGTGTCCTCTGACTGCTGCTCTGACCTCCAGGGGGCCGTAGAGGGAGACTGTTGCTTAGAGCCTGCTCAACTGTTCTGGGCGTCAGAGGGCCCTACTGCTGCCTCTGCCCGTGCTGCGCTTCGGGCATGTACCGCCGCACTCGGCCTCCTCGCTGTCCGTAACAGCCTGCCTTGCACTTTGTTTCACATTACAGTATGAAAACTTCCTTCATTCTTGATTCTGTTAGCAGCTGTATACTACTCTTTGTACAGAGGTACCTTCATTAAGTTATTTATTCTAATCTTTCCCAAATTATGCCTCAGTGGATAACTCAGTATTTGCGTTCAGTATCTCATTGTGAGTATATCCATCTCTGTTTATGGAAATAAAATCATTAGGTCAAAAGGTATCTGCACATATAATTTAATACATATTAAAATAGCTTTTGAAGACCTGGTTTGTGTCTGTAGTGTCAGGAGTTTCTCTTCTGGCCTGCGTTCTAGCCCCCACTCCACCCCACCCTATCCCCAGTTTTCTTGTGCCCTTTGTCCTGTTTTATTCTGTAAGAGACTTGCTTTTAGAATTGTAAAACTCTAGCATTGCTCACTTTTTTCTTTTCTTTTTTCTGGTGCATTAGTGGGAAATGCGGTGAGTTCTGAGGCTCTGAGGCAGGCCATTTCCCACAACCCTGTTGGGTCACCAGGCCCTAATTTAACAGGAGACTGCATTCTGCCCGTTTAAGTTCAATATTGCACTGGATTTTGCTCTTTAGAAAGAATGTGATGATTAGAGATCAGATCCCAAGGGCTACCGGCAGGGGTTAGCCTGACAGATACAGCCAGCATATCCTGCACCTCCTGGCCTTGCCATTACTCAGGTTTCTCTGATGCTACTAAAATTCTTCCCGTAAGGAAATGTGTACCACCTTTCCCCTTTCACCTTCTTGCCAGGAGGAGTATGCTTTCTTGGGGCCTGGGCACCTAGGGAAGAGTCCTGATACATTCCAAAACAAGACCTTTCATCCTGTGAGCAGTCACAGGTCTCGCTTCCTACTCTACCACCTGTCTTTTCAGCTTGGAGTTTTCTGTCTGGGGACAAAAAGTACAGAATTACAAAGTAGAGAAGCCCCCTTGTCCTGTTTTCTCGGGGCACTAGAAGTCTCCCCCACCCCCTTTGCACCAGTGAGTCTGAAGATGCTGAGCCTGCTGTGGAGGTCAGAGCGTCCCCGGCCAAGAGGTGGTGCTGGGGCTGCGGTCCTGGACCACCCGTGGGTGTGGGGAGCCCTGAGCTCTTCTTGGCATCGTCATCCGTCCGTCTTTCTCACACTCCTCAGCTCTGGGAGCATCTAGAGCAGAACTGCACAGTTGGCTACTCCCGGGCCACAGCCGTCGCAGCAGGCAGTCAGGTCGGGGGGCCTGGGTGCTGATCTTGGCTCTGTCTCTGACAGCTCTGACTTTGCCACTTGCGTGTCAGCATCCTAATCTCGGGACACAGGCCTGCTCAGACAGTTAGCTCCCTTCAGCACTGCTCCTACACGGTGTCCTTTGCCTCCCTGAGCTCCACGTTCCAGGTGGAACCCACTGTGCTCCAGGTGGTCAAAGTGGAGCACAGTGAGTTCCTGTCTCAGCCCAGGGAGCTCGCCAGTGCCTGGTGAGGGAGGTACAGTGTTGTGAAGCCAGATGTAGGGAGGCGTTGGCTTCCCTGGTCCCTGTCATACATTGTAACAGTCACAGAGCAGGTGCCAGATCTTGGTTCTGGCTTGGCATGGCCTTTGTTTAAGGAAAATAAGGTGCCTCTAGGAGACCCCACATGTGCATCAAGCCCGAGGGGGGCCCGCTGCTGTGGGCCCACTGTGGTCTGCTGCGAGCTTCGGTGTCTGCAGCTAGGCCTGCCCACTTTATAACAGCTCCCCATGCCAGGTGGTCGATAATAGCAGTGTCATCACATAAATGTCCCCAGTCCACTGCGAGTAACCTTTCTTTCCCCTCTCTGGATTTTAACTCCGATCCCTTTGTCCTTAACAAACAAGCGTTCTAGGTCTGACAGGAGGCTATTGACACTGTCACTTAATCCTGATAATCTTCGTTTGCTGTCACATATTCAGCCAACAGTGGCATTTGCCTGCCTCTAATTCAAAAGCGTTCTTTCCATTGTCCCTTACAGGAATTGCTGAATGACTCATTGTGCCGCAGTTAGCCCTCGAGGGTTATTTGTCACAATAAACCTGACCAACCCAATCAAAGTGTGCGGTCACTGCCTGGGTCATCAGGTCAGCCTGTGCGGCTTGCGCAGAGCTCTGAAGGGAGCATAGTTCACTGGCTTAGGCAGCTCATTCTGGATCGGAGCCCGTTTTGTGTACCTGCTCTGGGTTAACACCTAGTCCTTAAAGGCAGGTGCTTAGTGGATCTTTGTGGAGTGGCTGAGTACGTGTCTGCTGCAAGTCCAGGAGCCTGAGAACAAGGCCGAAGGCTCCAGCGGCCCCACTGCAGTGAGCCCACGCACCCCTCGGGAAGCCTAAGGCACAGGCACGGCCCTCCCTCCCCATAGTCTGATTGGGTGATCTGCCGGAGGCCCAGAAAATGGGTGTGAAGGCTGCATTCTCGTCTTTCCTTCTCTGGGTAAAGATGTCTAGAAAGCCGTGTCCCAAGGGCTCTAAGGAAGGCAGTGAGTTGAGAAGGCTTCCTGTGCGACACACAGGGGCCACTTGAGTGCCCTCTGTTCCCAGAGAATGCAGAGTTCATCTAACAAGTACGCTCACCTTGGTGCTTAGTGTGCTAAGGTGTGTCAGGTAGTGAGCTCCCCTGCAGGCAGGTTGGAGAGTTGGCACACATCTGTCACCTTGGTGGCCTGCATACATGGCCTGGAGACCACAGCCTCAGCTGGCACAAGAAAGGTGGGCCTAGGTGCAGGTTGCAAAGTCTTATAAACCCTCGGCTACCCTTTCCTTTCCTTGAGAGGTAGAGAAAGCAGTGTGATAATGAAAGGTTTGGCACATACAGGTGAGAACAGAGATAGTGGGCTTCTCACATGTCACCACTTAATATGGCACTCAGTAACATACTCTGCACTGTTTACCCAGAGAAGGAATGAGTAGAATGCAGCCTTCACACCCATTTTCTGGGCCTCCGGCAGATCACCCAATCAGACTATGGTGAGGGAGGACTGTGCCTCCGCCTTAGGCTTCCCAAGGGGTGCAATGGCTCACTGCAGTGGGGCCGCTGGAGCCTTTGGCCTCGTTCTTGTCATGTGTACAATGCGTACATGGGTAATCCTGCCTCAGAAGATGTTTATGGACTTTAAATGAGGTATAAATATACCGAGACCATGGAACAGCTAAAGCTACAAAGTTTTCACCTATGTGGTAGCTGACAGTCTTTTTTTTTTTTTTTTTTTTTTTTTTTTTTTTACCATGAGTTTGTGATTTGTGGACAGAAAAGAATTTTGAGCTGTTTACAGAAGGAAACATCCAAGATGCTCTTCAGGTGGGTGAGCTGTGACAGTCACATGAGCAGTTGTGTGAGATGCATCTAGATGTCCCGAGAGACGTATGAGCTACCTTGGCCTTCCAGTGGCTCGGCCCTGCCATCGGAGCTGGGGGCGCAGCCCAGCAAGGACCCAGGGGACAGCTGGATTTCTGCTTGATGTTTTGTAGAAGGTGTGTTCAGTTAGATTTTTGCATGGCCAGGGGGCTGTTGCCTGGGACCTCGTCTCACGAGGTTGCTGCCAGGGCTGATGGTGCGGTGCGGCAGATCAGCGGCACTCAGACATGGACAAGCTGGCCAGAGCGGCTTCCCTACACCCTTGCCAACTGCACCACCGCTCAGCAGAGCAACTTGGGTCAAATTCTTCTGAAGCCCAGAACACTGACGTAAGACTTCTGCTTCCCACTTATCCTACTGGTGTTCACCTAAGTGACACTTGTATGCCTCGCATTATTCTAGGTGTTCTACAGGGATACAAAAGAGGTGACCTATGTCATGAGTACTGCATACTCTGGTTGAATAAATAGTCAAACATTTAACATATTTTTGAAAAATGTCTTTACTACTCTGTCAACTATTTTAAGGGGAACACAGGGAAACCTAGCAGCAAGGACTTTGGAACACCCCCTTTCATAGCCCTGTACATAGTAGCATGGTTGAGATGTGTACTTGTTTATAACAAGTGCAGTGTCACCATCCCCCCCCACTTGGTAAAGCATACAAGTACAGGAGGGTAGAGGGTGGTGTGATAGTGGTCTTTGAGTGCTAGGCTTGGGAGCTACTGAAGGGTTCTGGGTAAGGGAGTGACAGGATAGCGTAGAGCAGAAGGAAGACAGGGACAATGGAATTGGGCCTCTTCAGGGAGAGAAGTGACAGGAGCAGAGGTGGTGCAGTCATGGCCAGGTATGAGCTCGTGACTTAGGCACTCTGGAGAAAGGCCTGAGGTAGCCCTCAAAGGATGTCATGAAGAAATCAATTGCACGTGTCATCAGCCTTGAAAGACGCAGGGCAGGTTTCTTACCAACCAATCTCTTCTTATATTTTACAGATTCAGCCAGTTATTGAACAAACCTTTCCTTTTTCTAAAGTTCCAGAAGCCTTCCTGAAGGTGGAGAGAGGACACGCACGAGGAAAGACTGTAATAAATGTCATTTAAATAAATGCTCTGCACAGTTAGTAATTGTTGGCTCTTATTTGGTGAGTGCTTGTGGTCCAAACTTTTTCCTTAGCCATTCCTCTCAAACATTTTTTAGATTATAGTATAAATTTCATGATTAAAAAAGTACTTTTCCTAGTCTATAATTTTCCAGTAATTGATATGAAAATATCAGCACTTGAACTTCTGTTGTCAGTGAGAAAAGCACATTGTTTTCCTTCAGCTGCTTTTTGACACCAGTTTTGAAGTTTGCTCTAGTACCTTCCAGTCAGCTCAGACCATTTATCGTCTTAATGCACGTGAAACCCTAAAACTTGCAGGATGTGGACAGAGGCTGGCATGGGTAGCTCATTAAAGGTTAGTTCCTTTCTAAGCTCGTCAGTGAGCACTTTTCTGACTGGTGGCATTATTGGGGTCTGAAACATTGCCAAAAGCCCATGGGTTGAAGGCTTGGTTACAAGCCCATGGCCATATAGGGATGGGGTGAAACCCAGTGGGAGGGAGTTAGTCACTGGGGCTGGGGGCAGCCCTTGGGAGTGATGGGGGATCGTGGTCCTTTCCCTTTTTGCTTCTGGGCCATAGTAAGGGAAGCATTTTTCTCTGTCGTTCACTTCCACAATGATGTGCCACTGTCCCCACGGACTGAGACCTTCAAATCGGAGTCCGAACAAACCTTTTCTCCTTATATCTTAATTCTTAGTGTCTCATATATAACAGAAGGCTAATAAAGGAAATTGGCACCAAGAAGTGGGGTCATTGTTGGGACTGTACTGATGGTTTGGTTTAGAAGTCTTTGGAATTGACTGGAAGGGGAATTTGGAAAAGTTTGAAGACACAGGATACAGTAAGCTTGGATTGCTATAAGCAGAACTTACTGTACTGTGTGATTCCGTTCAAGGCTCAGGTGACCAAAATGCTGATAGAAATGTGGACAGTAAAGGCCGTGCTGGTGAGGCCTGAGAACTTTTCTGTTGGAAATGGGACTAAAAGCTACTTGTGTTACAGTTTGGCAAAAAGAACTTGGGTTAGATTTTGTCCTTGCTCTGAGATTTTTGTGGGGCTGAGTTTAAAGTGGTGGATTTATCTGGTGGAAGAAAAAAAAAAATTTTTTTTTTGAGACAGAGTCTTACTATGTAGCCCAGGCTGGCCTTGAACTTGCAGCAATCCTCCTGCCTCAGCCTCCTGAGTGCTGAGATTACAGGCATGTACCATCATGCCTAGCTGGAAGAAATTTCAAGGTAGCAGTTTTCAGGCAACAGATGGATCTTGCTGGCGATTTTTAGCCAAATTTACAGGGAAGATCAGCAACAAAGACAATGGAAAAGTTGGGAAAACTTAAAATTTACCAGAAAAGGAGTACATGTGTGCCACTAAGGAGGGAACAATTGCTAAAAAGGTTGGTACCATTAAAACAACTCATGTACAGTGACAGTTATAAACTTAATACTCTGCAATTCTGGTTGAAACTGCCTAGAATGAGAACCAAATCAGATTCAGTGGTTAATTGGTTAGGTTCAATATTGACCTTATGAGGAAATGTGATTTGGTTCATGACCAATTCGTTGGCGACCAGAATTATGGAAAGAATAAGTTTGTGAACTAAGACACAGCTGTAACTTTATGTTGGGGCAATAGGAGACTCCACCCATCACAGGCTCAAAGGTACAGAGTATACAAGCTTATTTCAAGGAGTTTGGTTTGTGCTCACATAGGAATATCAGGAAGTTGTTTCCTTGACATTTTGTTTCCCAGGATTCGGCTGTCCAGGTACAGAGGCTGCCGCAGCAGTAACTATAGGGCTCTTGGGTACAGCTCACTGGCAGCAGACCTTGGCACTGTCTGTAAGATACTGCTTTTGCAGCTATGACCTTTTTTTGCGGAACCGGGGATTAAACTCAGGCCCTTGCGCTTGCCAGGGAAGCGCTTATTCTACTGAGCTGTCTCCCCATCCCCCTGCTTTTGCAGCTATGAAGAATGCAAAAATCAAGGGGTTGTAGAGGCTTCCAAGATTTCCAGGAAAGCCTGGGAGGCCAGACAGTGTGTGGCAGGGTCAGACTCCCTGCAGCATCCTGACAGCACAATACATGAAGCTGTGGGAGTGAAGCCAGAGCTGCAGTGGCAACACCAGGCAGTTAAAGACACCAGGAACATGGAAGCCTACAGAAGGGGCTGCAAGCAGCCATCAGCCAGCTCAGCAGATGGGCCGGATGCGATGGTGTCAACAAGGCTGCCGAGGTGAGTACCAAATGCTTTAGGGCTCTTACCTCGTGGGCATCAGATGCTGGACACAAAGTTGTAGGGCTTCATGTTTATCATTTTGACTTCAGTCTTGTTTAGCTCTGTTCCTTATAGTTGTTCTTCCCTGTTATAGCAGGAATATTTATCCTGTGTCTTTGGAAGTTGACAGTTTTTACAGGGACTCTCAGCAAGGGTTTTTGCCTTGAGTCTCAGGTTTCAATTTTTGAGCAGTGCTGGAACTGTTAAGAAGCTGGGAACTCCTGGAGATGGACCGAAGGCATCTTGCATCTGTGATGTGCACAGGAGCCAGAAGCTGGGGTGCAGTGCTGTAATCTGGACTGGGAATATCTCCCAAAGCCTGTGTTGACAGCCTGGCCTCAGGCCTGTGGCTCTATCGGAATGCATTGAGACCTTGGAGGCAAGACCGGTAGGGGAAGTTAGGTCATCAAGGGCCTCCTAAGTCCCTTCTGCCTGCCACAGGCCCAAAAGCAACAGAGCTAGCAGCCATGGATAAATCCTCTAAAATCGAGCTAATCTTTCCTGCTTTTTTTTTAACTTTAAAATTTGCATTTTAAAAATTGGCAAAGATTACTAGGAAATAATCTTGAACTAACGGGGGAAAAAATCAACACTACTCAGATTTTTTGTCAAAATAGTTGAAAGTTACCACGTTGCCTTTTGTTTTTATTCTTCCTAACGTCCTTACCAGTTCTCAAAGTTCTGAACCCCACAGCTGGAGGTGCACTTGGTGCGGAGCACTTGCCTGGAGCGTGCCAAGCCCTGGTTTTGAGCTGCAGCAACACAGGAAGGAACAAAAATTCTGAACTGCGGAGGTCGTATATAAAATCTGGCCTATGATTCATCTGTTTGCTTTCTTCATACTGAAAGGTGAGGCTAAAGGCTCTACTTTTTTTAAATTCTCAGCTTCTGCATAAGTGTTGGGCATCTTTCAGTAATTGAAGCCTACTGCTCAGAATTTCTGTGGAAATTCCCAGCATTTCAATAGAGCCTGCTCTGCCGTCTATATATGCTATATAGGTGTACCATCGATAAAACTGCCGGTGTGTATTTTTGAATTTCTATAAGGTATTTTTTAATTTACTGTTTCCCATTACTATGCCTTAGACACTTGCGTCTAGCTTTTGATGTGGACTTACTTTAAGAAAGTTTTTTGCTTTTAGACACTTGTTTGGAAGCATATTGGATGTGGGCTTTTTTTCTCTAAATTGAGTACAAATTTATTTCAAAAGGAAAAAAGTCTTTCCCTCATAGACAGCAGCGGCTCTTAACCTCCATGTGGTGCAGTCTCGGCTCTTGCCCGAGGGCTCCCATGCTGCACCAAGGAGGCACATACCCAGGAGAGGGCAGGCAAGGCAGGACTGCACTCGCTCTCACTGCTGCTGTCAACTTGCTTCATCCTATGCCACCAGACCTGTGACTCTCTCGGTAGTACTACATGACTGGCTCCCAATGGACTCAGAGATTTTGTCAATCTTGCTTCATCCTATGCCACCAGACCTGTGACTCTCTCGGTAGTACTACATGACTGGCTCCCAATGGACTCAGAGATTTTGTCAATACAGTTAGCCAGAAACAAGTTTATTCCAGAGAAATTCCACACAGGATACTACAGAATATCTTAACCAACCATGTTTTAATGGTACAGACCAAGAGGCCTAAAATGAGAGCTACAAAGATATGTCACAGACCAAGAAAGGCACGCTGAATGCTGCTGTACTTGGACAAACATTTTACAACTGTTCTCGTGGCCACAACTGTCTACCATGGACTCCAGGGAAGATCACACTTCAGAATTAGAAACATGCTTCAATAGATAAACTAGAAACAAGATTTGTTCTACCTGTGACAGAAGCACCAGTGTTCAGCGTTGACAAAGAATGTACTTGAAACATTTAGCGGTTTTGTTCAAAACTAGAACTGACAGAGCAGCCTGGTATGGGCCAGTGTTACTGCCACAGTTAAATATGGCTTCACTGCATTTTTGAATCCCTTAGTGCACTGTAGGGTTCTCGGCGTTAGCATCTGACTGGTAAACAGCTCTTAGGGGCTTCTCTTCTTCACTTTCTGGCAAAGACTGCTGGCCATCCTCTACGCACCACATGCCTGTTTCTGCTACTAGAAGGAAGTGAGCTCAGGGCTGTTGTGTCCAAGGCATGCGCCTGTCCTACAGCAGTAATAGCTGGAAATTAGGCTAAAAGTTCTGCGTTTAGCAAAAAACAGTAGACTATGGCTTCAGTACGTGGTGTAATGAGTAAGAGGAGGCTAGGAAACGCGGCCGTGATAATACTGTCCCAGTAGCAGCTGTAAGAAAGGCACTCAGTCTATATTTATTGAGTGCCTTCCATTTCTGAACATACAAGGTTTATTTTCCTCCTCTACCTTCCAGCATAATTAGTAAGTCCAGAAAACATTAAGGCCAAAAACATATGTATAGGCCTAATAAAACATTCCTCTAAAATAGTAAACAGTGTTCTACCTTACAAATAGAAGTGTTTATGGTTCCCTTTAAACTGTAAAGGATTTATTTGTGGGGCTGCAGAACCAGTAAATTTGGTCTTGTTCATTGTCACCATCTTTGGAAAAAATTTAAAATTTACAGTCTTGAAGTCTTAAGATCTTTTAAGAATACCTAAAAGCTGCTAATGAGGCAACCTGTGTAAGTGTTTACTGAGGCAATGAAAGCAAGAAATGAGAGGAGGGCTAATTATTGGTTTAAAACTATTACAGCCTTATAGTTCTTGCAGTCGTGGCAGGGTGACTCGGAGGGAGGAGGGAGGCGGTGCACTTTCTACTTGGCTCCTCCACCAGCACTGTCCTCTTGTGTTTCTTAAATTAAGTGGCTGGAAAGTCCTCCAGGAAAGTTCTCTGTGTTCTGTGTTCAGGTTTACAGAACCATGGCTTCCCACACTTGTGTTAATTTCTCTTCGTTGACTGTGTTGAGGATGATGTGATTCTGATCATACTGCGCTCCCCCTGAAACAAAGGAAAGCAAGCAGTGTGCACACCGAAGGGCAACAGCAGCAGAGTTCATCTAACACCTGCAGTGCAACAGCAAAGTAAGACCACATGCTCCACGGGAATGCCGGGGTGGAAGCTCCAAATGCCTGTGGAGAATCTTAAAGTATGAGGTTTCTGTTTCTGCTCAACTTTAACATACCTAAATTTGGGGCAACAGGAGAAGGAAAAAGAGGCTCTAAGAAGTATTCAGTGGTGAAAGCATGGGCCTGAGATCCTTGCAGGGAGGAAGCAGGCAAACCTGGTGGTGGTGGAAGGCCAGCAAGGGTGGCTGTCAGAGGCCACAGGTTTTGATATGAACATGGCTGCATTAGGTCAAAGGGGAGGGCTGAATGACATCCAGAAGTACACACAGCACCAGGGAGGTAGGGAGGTGCTCCCACTATTGAGAATGCAACTGGTATACAGTAATTCAAAACCAGTATCACCAATCCATTATTCTTTCACCTGAATGTATGTAAGAAGCTTTCCCAGGGGTACTTACTGGTAACTAGTATACTGAAAAAGCCTCATGGCCTCTTTCAGTGGAGAAGCATCATTAACAAGAAGAAAGGCGATCAGATTATTATTATTATTATTATTTTTTGGTCATTGTCCAGTAAACATCCTTTCAGATACTTTACCTTCTAGCGTGAGCCTCTGCACTGAGGCTATGCTTAGCGTATGCCCAACGATACATGCTTAGGCCAACCAGAAAGCAATATTATTTCCTTTAAAGCATAGAAGATAGCAAATGTCTGATAACTTATGAGCACAGATAACTAGAAAAGGAAATATCTTGTGATGCTTCTTTATCACTAAAATAGCTTCCTCAGAGTGGGGCAGCGTGCACACAAGGGCAGCCTGGGGCTTGTGTGTGTGTGCCTTTGCAGGGGAAGGAAAGTTCACCACCAGCAAATGCTACGCTCTCCCCTGCCACACAGCACACTCCTGAGATTTCAGAAACTACTGAGGGTGCGATGGTTTCATTTTTCATTCTTCAGGATTATAGTGCATTAAAACTTTTAAAGAAATATGTATCATTGATTCTAATTAGAATCCTAAAGACTAGAAAAGTTCTTGAGAAATAATTTGATTCATTCCTTTGCCTTTAGGAAAAATTTAAATAATTTTGGACTTCTCCCATTTTTAGATAACATATGTCACTTGCACTACTTATAGGGTGGCTGGAAAGTTACATGACCAAAGCTGAAGTGCAAACACTTCCTGCCTGACGTGAGTTGGAACACAGGAAGACCCTATTGCCTTGGTTTTTAAAAAACTAGCCTTTAAAATCTGGTCATAAAGAGGTGAACAGTGTAAATTTATTACTGGTTTTTCAGTACTGATCATCCTGCCTTATCGATGTCCCCTGTGTACTCTGAGGTCCAATCTCTACCTGCCAATAGAGTTGGTTATTTCTGGGACTGAAGAGTAATTCAGAACAAATTTTAAGTCCTGTTTGAAAGAAGTCACTAGCATTCCCTTGAATGCAGCTGGCATATAGTAATTCTAAAATCAGTGTCTCCAATCCATCATTCTTTCTCCAGAATGCACGTAAGAAGCCTTCCCAAGGGCACCTGCGAACAGTTCATAACACTGCTTGGAGGTTATCTTTTCAGTTTGGCTCATTTTTAGTGCCTGTGATTTATATCGTTATCTGATTCATTTACTTATAATACAATCTTGCCAGACCTTTGATGTTTTTTAAAATGAGCATGAATCCGCTTCCACTATTGTCATAATACACGATATGGAATAATACATACATGTCTGCCAAAAAACTCCTTCCCCAAGCCCAAGAAGAGAATAAAGACACTAGATCTAATAAAGTGGCTATTTCTTTTTTGTTTTTTTTTGCGACAGGGTCTTAAAATGTGGCTCAGACTGACCTCAAATTCACAGTAATCCTACTGCCTTGGCCTCCTGAGTGCTGGGACTACAGGTTGTGCCACTGCCTGGCTAATAAATCTTATGGCAATTTCAATAGTGAATTGTTTGGTTGTCGCTAATGAAAACCACGAGGTCCTACAAGTGCCCCAAATGTGTTTGCATTTTTCCTGCACAGGACACAGGCTGTGTGGCCCTGCTTTCTCATGTCCAGAAGGTGGCGGCCTTCTCCTACATTCTGACAAACTCAAACTCCAGAAATAAGAAATTAAGCAGCTACTGCAGCTAAATACTGAGCGTTCATTAATGTACAAAACACTCTCCTCACTCAGGAGCTACAGGACTGATGTAGAATATATTTTAGGAGATAACTTTGGAGAGTTGGGCTGGGGAGATGGCTCAGTGGAATAAGCACTTCCCTGGCAAGTGCAAGGGCCTGAGTTTAATCCCTGGTTCCACCAAAAAAAAAAAAAAAAAAAAAAAAAAAAAAACTTTGGAGAGTTAGAGTGCACCCCAGGAAGGAGTCGCATAGCACAGGCGGAGGTCAGGTGTTTTAGAACACTTTCCATTCTTGAGAAGTGTTCTAAAAGTGCCTCTCTGTTCAGCCTGGCATCCGCGTGTCTACTGGGGAGCCTGCCATGTGGTGTCCAGTGAATACTGCTGAAAGAAAAAAAAATTCTGTCCCAAGATTTCGGTGGCCTCAGCCCTGGCCAGAGGAAGCTGGCTGTATCTTTACTTGTAACAAACATGAAGATTTACTCAGTCTTTTTAGGGAACTACCCTAATTTTTCCTTAAAAATTCTGATTTTTCCTATTTTATCTCATTTTTTTGCCTTTCTTGGAAAAGTATCTTAAAGAAAATGAGCAGCCTCCTGGCCACAAAGTTGATAAAAATCAAGACCTGGGTCACTGATTCTTAGCCAAGTTGGCCATGTATAAAATGGGTGTGTTGTCTGTTTACACACTGAGATGGAGTTATACAGTACATTACTATTCACTTTCTGCACGATGCAAGTATTTTCTCATGTCCAAGGGTCCCACTTGCACTTTAAGTGTCCTGGTCTCCATCCAGCCTGCAGACAGACATACTGCTGAATTTGTGTTCCCTAAGTGTAGTCCTCAGCCTGTGTTTCACTCAGCCTCATCTGCCTCTGTGTCCCTCTCCAACTTCTCCAGTTACCTGGGACTCTAGTCCTACTGTGCATGTTGGTCACTTGATCTACAGAGCTCTCCAGAAGTTACAGGTATCTGTCTCCTAAGGGAAGGTACCAAAATTCCTGATGAAATGCTCAGGCTTCACTTTCCATTCTTGAGAAGTGTTCTAAAAGCCAGACTACAGCTAGTTCTTTACCTTTATGTCTTAATTTTTAATGACAGCCTTGGCCAAGAGCCCTGATTAAAGAGCCAAATGAAATTTCTCTCTCATGTCAACACTGAACGTAACCATTGCATTGATTTAGTTCTTGCCCAACTCTGTTTGCAACCAGAATCATAGGAAGAATTAAGTTCATGAACTAAGGTACCACTGCATTAATAGTCCCTTCAATTTTCAAAAGTAAAGGTATTTTTCCTTAACTGAAGAACGATATATGATAGCTGGTCATGGTGGTGGTCACCTGTAATCTTAGCTACTCTGTGGACTGAGGAGGATCTCAAGTTTGAGGCCAGCTGGTGATCTTATTAACAAGATCCTGTCACAAAAAAGGCTATGATGGAGCTCTGTGGTAGAGCACTTTCCATGTGTCCATGAGCCCCTACACACACACACACACACACAAACACACACAAAAAAAAAAAAAACCCCACACATTATGATCAAAGAAATGATTCTTACCTTTGATATCTAAAACTAAGTTTGGTTTCAATTTGCTGTAGATCCTGCCATCTGACTTCATGCACCAGAACTGACTATCGACGTTCTGGTCAAGCGACAGGCCGAGTTTAGAGCCTGATGTGACGAGGCTGCCCACGATGGTCAGGCAGCAGTCTTCTGCTATCTGCTTAGTGAAAAAAACCAAGGTGTCTTAGAAAAGAATAGATACTTACATCTTAAAAGATCTCCCAGCTATATAAAGAAAATAAAGCCCAACATAGTATTTTAACACAGCAATTTTTAGACTTCTTCCCTAAAGTGAATCTACCTTTAAATTACAGAGTCTGCCAAAAAAGTATATATACACTTCGGGAAAAATAGTATGAGGGGGCGTGGGAGATGGCTCAGTGGAATAAGTGCTTCCCTGGCAAGCGCAAGGGCCTCAGTTCAATACCCCGTTCCACAAAACAAAAACAAAAACAAAAACAAACTAATATGATTTTTTTTTTTTTTTAATGTGGGCAACCCAGAGGATGTTGTACATCACAGAAAACCATCCTACACTGCCAGCCCCTAGAGAGGAAATTGAAAATTCACAAGCAGCAGTCACAGTGACTAAGGTCACCCAAGCAGCAGTTCGCTTGAAGCTAACAGCCACCACCTTGAGCACCTCTTGTAACTGCAGAGGCCAAAGATAACTTGTATTGCTCTTATGATAACTCAATAAAATTAGTATTAAAATATTTATACCAGTCTTTCATTCCCTGAAGTATACATACATTTTTTGGCAGACTGTTTAAACAATACATGGCAATCATATGCTTACATGCCAGTAACACATAAAGATATATTTTTTAAAATGTACTGACAGTGCACTATTCTGCCAAGCATGGTAGTGTATACTCAGAATCTCTGCCTTCAGGAGGCTAAGACAGGAAGATTACAAATTTGAGGCTATCAGAGGTAACACAGTGAGTGCAAGTGAGACCTTATCTCCAAAAAGACACTTCTGGCCTGTGGGTGTAGGTCCATACTACTGTTGTGACTGTATGTACTGTTCTGTGTGAGAGCGAACCATTGTGATCATCTGAAATTTCAGTTTTCTTCACTGGGCTACTGAATTCAGGTTATTAAATGCATCACTGCTGGGCTGTCAGGAATAAGCACTCTCTTGTGTGAAGGTAATGCCAGACAGGTGAATGCTTAATACTTCAGTACTACCGCTACTGCTCTTGTCATGCTTGCACCTGGCACATCTGAACAGTGCTCTGCTTACACAGGAGTGAAGCTCCCTCAAGCATAGCAGCTCCCAGGCCAGCTGTGATCTTTCTCACATGGCTGTTGCAGCCTCCTGCTGACTCATGGGGCACGACATTTTTAAAATATCAAACACAGGGGAGTGAGGTAGCTCAGAGGTCTAAAGCACCTGCTTAGGCAAGCTTAGGCAGGTACAAGGACCAAGGTTCAAGCCCCAGTACCACATACCACACCAGCCAGCCCTTATGGCAGGCTGAGCCAGGAAAAAAAAAAATCAAGCACAAACAGCAAAGCCCATAAAGTCTAGAAAAAAAAGAAAAGATACCTGCAACAGAAGCATGAGCTTCTCATGAAATCTGACTACACTCAGCTTTAAATGTCTGTGATGGTAGGAGCGATATGAGAGAGCAGTGGGCCATTTTCTACATACAGCATCATGAGCCTCTAAGGAGTGGGACATGGGGGGAGGGTGTCCTTGTGGCACCTTCTTACCCTGTACTATCATTTCCCAAAACAGAAAACTAGAGTGATGTTTGTTAATGTGCCAGGGCTATAGTTTACTTCTACAACAAGTGCATTAAGTGAAGAACAACATAATCACTTAATTTTTGTATAGTAATAGAAAAAGAGAATAAATACAAATATTCTATCTTGGTTCAGTACTAGATACACACACACACTTTAAGTTCCTAAGACTGGTTCTGAACAGTGTGTTTCAGGAATTATGAAATAGCATCTCCATAAGGAAAGCGCAGATGCATAGTAAGGATGAATCTCCTGGCAGAGCTGTTAGAGAACACATTTAACCTTAAAAGCTCACCCTGCATTTGATGCATCCTTCTTGATAAATCCAAATCTGGTCATCAGCACAGACATCTTCCATGACCTGTACTCTAAGAAGCTTCAGATCCTCTAAGTTCCCATTGGTTGACATGAACAACCCTGTTGCTTTGTTTCGAAGTTTGAAATAAATTTGTTTCTAGAAGATAAAAGCCCCAGCAACAGTCATATACAAGATGTGCTCTTAGAAGTACTGAACAGCAGTGCTGTTCGGAAGCATCCAGAGTAAGGTGTGGATTAGGGATATGCAACACCCAAGTGTCTTCAAGGTTTTAAGATTTTCTCAATTGTAATAGTCTGACAAATTGTCAACTGTCTGGGACATGCCAGTTTGATGTTGAGTTTGACAAAATTTCTAGAATAGCCACATTTCTTGGTACCACATACTGAGCTAATTTCAAACTCTTAAGATTGAAAAGTTGTATTGCATTTACCAAAAAAAAAAAAAAAAAAAAAAATCTATTAACAATATGAAGAAAAAACATACCTGAAGAAAAGGTCTTAGAGAACCTATTTGGTTACATCCAGTGAATTCATACCAGTTAGGTACTTCTGCTGGTGACAGTAAGAACTGTCGGCCCCTGTAGTTGCCATATTCATAAGTAACCCATCTGAAAAAAATAAACAAGATGACTGTTTGAGTCTAGATGTTTCCCCAAAGCCTCATACAAAGTGGCTGAAACTAGAGTGTGTGACTGACCAGTGGTGCAGCGCTGAGATTAAGGGCAGGTACCCTGCATACAAGAGACAGAAATAGAAATATTCTTGTCTCTTGCTTGTTACTTTTGCTATCTTTCCCTCCCATGAACTGTTGCCCCTCTGCTATGTGCAACCCTGCCTTGAAGCCAGCCATGTCCAGACTAAAACCTCTATAAATTGTAAGCTAAATAAACCTTTCCTCCTTTAACTTTGGGTGTTGGATATTTTGTTTTAGGAACAAGAAAAGTAACTAAGATAACTATAGGAAGTGGCAATTTCATTTTGACAATTAACGATTTCTGGACTGAACCTCATACTTTAAATACTGGGGGAAATAGAACTTCTAGAACACTGAACACAGCCTTTTCTTGACAAGTAGTGAAATTATAGCACTCAGGTATTTACGCTAAAAAGATCCATTCTTAAAGAGAAACGCTGTTTTTTCCTCCAATAAAGCAGTGAAATAGTCTTTTAGTAGGACTATTCCTGGAACCACCTCTGTTTATGAGTCATATTAACCTTAGTGTAGGGGTCGATATGGATCAGATTTGCAAGTTCTTAATGTGTGACATTGGTATGTGCTGAGAATTAAAACCTAGCAAAATTTGGTTTAAAAATGTAATTGTCCTCCAATCCAGAAAAATCCTAAAGCTACTCACGCTGCTTCCACCCTGGCTGACACTGCACAGCTAAGAGGCACACGTAGCCTGGCATGTAAGCAACCCATGACCCCCTCCTGCTGACACACTACATCAAGAAGACTGTCCTCCACTTTTAATCCTGAAACTTGACAATGTTCCCATTTTAGACATTTTATCATGAAGTTTTCACTAAAATCTACTGAAAAAAGGCAGCACCCATAATCCTACTAGTTTAATACTTCTTAAATATATTTAGAGTAGCAGTGGTTCCCTCCAACATTTGATGCATATAGAAAGACCACACCTGTTGTTTCATGAAAAAAAGAAAAATACTTTCATAAAAATACTACATCGATGGTACTTACTCATTTTTTATCCAATCCAGGATCAAAATGACTGGAAGTGTTAACCTTTCCAAGTTGACTCTTAATTACTGGCACAGCATCTATCAGTCACTCCCAATCAAAGGAAAAGCTCAGCTCTAAAATGAAAAGACCTGGTTTCTCAAAGGGACAAGAAAAACCAGGTCTCTCTTTCTTGCTAAAGCAGTGCTCAATAAATTTGCTGAGCTGAGCGCCTGTGTGCAGAGCACTCCCCTAGGAACTCTGAGAGGCCTTGACAACAAAGCCTTACCTTAGAGAGATGAAAGATGCTTTCCACACAGCTCTTCCCACTGGGGAAAGCACACCATGGAGGTGTGTAATGATTAACGCTCACAGAGAATAAGGTGTTACCTGTCAGTTCACTTAGGGTAATGTAGAACTTCACAGGTCAAGTACAGGGAGACAAATACTCTATGATCTCACTTATGAAATTCAACAAAGTGAACTCAAGTAGAGAACAGAAAGGTGGTTACCAGAGGTGGCAAGGAAGTGAACAGGTGAGGAGGGATGTTGGGCAGGGGATACACAGCTAGTTATATAGGACTAAATTCTGTTCAGTTGCACAGTAAGGTGACTGCAGTGAATAGTGTGTATTTCAAAATAGCTAAAAAGAGAGGATTTTACATTGAATTACCACAAAGAAATGATAAATGTTTCAAATAATGGCTGTTAATTACCCTCAATTTATCATTTCATATTGTAAATGTGTCAAAACATTACATTGTGGCCCATAAATATATGCAATTATATTTCTCAATTAAAAATAAACCTTTTTAAAAGCTGAATTTTTAAGTTTATCTTTTGCCTTGTATGATGGCAAGCAACTGGAGTCCCAGCTTTCTAGAAAAGCTGAAGCAAGAGGGATGACTTGAGTGAAGAGTTCAAACCACAGCAGTACTCTTTCTCTTAAAATAAAATATTTTAGCCAGGAATAGGGGCATGTGCCTATAATCCCCACACTCAGAGGCCTGAGGCAGGAGGATCACTGTGAGTTCAAGGCCAATCTGGATTACAAAGTGAATTAAGGCCAACCTGAACTACAAAGGGAGACCCTGTCTCAAAAACAAAACAAAACAAAACAAAACAAAAAAACAAAAAAAAAACCTTTATTGGATCAACAGTTTCTTGGATCACTTACATGCCACCAATAACTCGAACAGAGCGTATTTGTGTGTTGAATCCCAAGGACCGGAGATTAACTGTTTCTGCATTAAGTTCAATCTTTTTTCCTTTGAAGTCTTCTCTTTCAAAAAGAATGATAGTTGGCTCAGAAAATTCCTGTATCAGAACAAGAATAATGATATTCATCTGTTAATAATTCAAAGCTTGTATGTAGTTACTAGACAGAACACAAGACCTGCATATGCAGTTTGCTCATAAACTCCCTTTCCCAAGAAATCTGTTTATGTGCTCTAAAGCCGAAGAGCAGAAGAATGGGCGTGCAGGAACTCTCTCCCACTGTGTGTGAAGGTTAAAGCTGATCAATTATGAAGCACGGGAACATCCCAGGCCAGAGGAATGGGTGTATGTGTGAAATGCAGCACTTTCAGTGGAATTATTTTTGCCTTAGATTTCTTCAGTGGGCGACAGATGTAAGTGAAGGTCTGAAGGCTGCATGGTAGAGTGGCTCTCCCTAATCCAGGAGCCTTACCTCTCCAGGGTTTTCTTAGGGTTTTTTTATTTTTATTTTATTTTCTGTTTTAACAGCCAAAAAGATAGAATTCGGTGTATTCATGCTCACAAGCATAGGAGGAGTCATTGTCAGAGAAGAAAAAATTAAAAACACAGAAGCCCCCATTCAAATTTTCAGTCATCTTACAGAGGACAACAGCACAGAAGTCCACTGATTTTCAGAAAAATAAAAAGTTAGCAGCTCATGCTTGCTTTCCAATTGTAGACTCTTCTGAACTTAGACTAAGCTCTAAAAGTAATACTCCTAAAATCAAAAACAATACAGCAAAAAAGCACATGGGAATTACAATTATTCCCTACCTAAAGTTTGTGGTAAGTGTGTGGGCATTTTATGGCTTCATTTGTGGACGTCCCGTGACATGTAGGGAGAACTGCGTCCACTGGTAAGCAAAGCAGATTAGTGTGGGTTAGACTGCACGGTCCAGGAATTCAGTTATGTAAACACACAAGGAGGCAACCAGACAAAAATGGCAGTAGTGTTACTACTCTGCACATGTACCCCACTGTCCCAAGATGGCCTGCCAAAAACGTGTTAAACACTCGATGAAACAATTTTGAAATATTAAATTATAATTTAAGATGTACATGGCTAAGGATGTAACTTATAGGGCGAGTGCTTCCACAGCTTGCACAAGGTCCCTGGTTTGATCCCCAATACCACAGTCTTATTGTGTGTAAGATCTCCATTTCCTCAATACTCAAAACTCAAAATGCCATCATCTCTAAGTATCTGAATAATACGAGTAGACATGTCAATTTCTGGTTGGGGTTGGTGTTTGGAAACTTCAAATATATACTTGAAGGTAGCTTCTAGAATTGTAGGCAGATTAGCTATCACAAACTTATGTCAATTACTTGTAATGAATCTTAACATTATTCAATATTTCACTAGCACAATTTCATGTCTCAATAGCATTTTATTATTTAAACAGGAAGGGATAATACAAAGCCAACTCACTTGGCTTCTCCTACCTTCAAGACTAAAATCAACTACGTTTGAAGCTTTTCATGCTGGATGTGGTGGCACACGCCTATAATCCCAGCACTCCAGAGGCTGAGGCAGGAGGATCACCACAAGTCTGAGGCCAGCCTGGGGCACACAGTGAGTTCAAGGCCAGCCTGAACTATGTAGCAAGACCATATTTTTAAAAAACAAAAACCCCCAACTTTTTATGAGATCAGCTACCAAAAAGCAATTTGAACTTTCTAAAACCAAAGACACTGTTAGATATCTAAACATTATCTTCAATTTTATTGTATTGAATATTGTGTATTGGTGTTTTTTGTGTTTATTTTTTTTTTGGCAGAAACGGGGATTGAACTCAGGCCCTTGCGCTTGCCAGGCAAGTGCTTATTCTACTGAGCCATCTCCCCAGCCCTGAATATTGCTTTGACTGCATAAAACAAAAGATTTCTGTCCAAATAGAGTGCTATAACCTAGAGTGGTACATAGGGGATGACCTGGGAAAAGTCATCTGATTACAAACCTATAGAACACCAATGAAAGACTAAAGAACTACAAGGAATTTTCAGCAAATCTGTAGCAACAAAAGATAGGGAACTGACTTAAGATTTGGGCAAAGAATATAAGCTGGACATTCACCAAACAGAAAATCTAAATGACAAGTATAAGAGATATCTACCTCACTAAAATAAGGTTACAAATCAACACAGCAATGAGATGATACTTTCTACCTGTCCTTCTCAAACAGATCAAACCAAGAATAGAGTTTTGCAAAAATGTGAGAAGCAGGAATCCAACTATCCTGCAGCAGTAGTCTAACCTGGGGACTGGCAGCCCAGGATGAGACTGTTGGTACATGTGAAGCCCAGCCTTACTGTTTCTGGACAGCCTGAGACACTCCCACACAGGTCCACAGGAATATGCATATGAGGATTAAATACATGACAAAGGGTGAAAGACTTACATAGTTGAAGCCAGTAAAATACATGTACATCAGCAAAAGAGAGGCCTCTTAACATTTTTGAATGTAGCATAATGTCAAAAACACATTAGAGTGGGTATCTATAAAGGGGAGGGGAATGGAAATATTCTACAGACCAGGTAGGAATTGAGAGGAAAAAAAAACCCCAGAATAAACCATGAAAGGGGCCTTGAACTAACTCTTTATGACTACAGGCCATGACTATCTTAATGCCCTATGCCTGAAGTCTGATAAGACAGTGAACAGAATAGTTCATAAGTTACACATCTAAACAGAGAGCAAATGTTACAAGATGGAAAACTACATCTGTCTTTTTTCCCCCTGCCTCCATTTTTAATCCCTAACTTCTCTCTATTGCTTTTCTTGCTCTAACTGCCTGCTATATAAGCCTTATATTTCCGTAACACTATACTCACACTGGTATACTTACAACATCTATAAACCGAAGAGATTTGAAAGTTGCTCCAGGCAGGCATCCCATTGAAGAAAGACAAGGATAGTGACCTTCTTCCAACACATACTGGTTACCAGAAAAATTTTCTCCATCATATGCAACCCAGCTACAAAAGGAAAAACCATGTGTACAGTATGCAATTTGAGTATTCCTACTGAAGACATCTGACTTTCAGTGAAATTTTTATTTTGTAGCAGAAAAATAAACATAAAGGCTGTTCCTTCAAAAATATCTGAATATAGTTACTGCATTTCATCTCATGACTAATATTCATAAATCATTTAATAAACTACCCTCTCCCTGGAATGCCTGTTTCTACTTTTCCACCTCTCAACCTGCTTTATTTTTCATGATGGCCCAGATGCTCCTGACAGTGTAGCTTCAGGGCCTCAGCTCCTTTCTCTGACAAAGGATTACTCGGCCCCTAGACTAGTCAGCCACCAAGGTCTAGTTCTGCCCTACTGCTGTTTATCCTCATTTCCAACCCCTCTGCACTGGGCCAGGAGTTAGAAACCACAGTGACTTAGGCAAGTCACCTGGCCTCTCATGGCCTCAGCATAATCGATAAAATGGTGATATGCCAGGTTTCCCTAGATGAAGTTTGTGGGTGGTTTTCTTTTTTCCTTAAATTTAACAAGTGCTCAACAGTGTATTTTCCCATTACATATGCAACACAGAACAAGTACTGTCTTCAAGTTTATACTCTAGAGAACTGAGACAAACTATAAATGAGCAATAAAAAATGTATCTTAAGTAATAAATGAAGCCAACTGGGGGACAAAGAACTGGGCTGGAGTGGAGAGAGATGCTAAGAAACTGAAACTCTTCTATTGGTCTGTGGCCTCTGGTACTCTGCAATGCTAGTACTGTTTTGATCAGAAGGAACTACATGTTTCTTTCTTTT